GGAAAAGTATTTTTAATTCTAACATTAAAATTACTTTGCACACTGACTATTCTAAACAAACACTCAATATATATTTATGGAGAAATCTTTATTTTATTAAAAATACTTCACTAAAATATGATTTTTTGTGTGTGAAAGACTTATAATATGTATTGAAAGACTGCCAAAATTTGTGAAGATATGCACACTATATTGAAAGTTAGAAGTATTAAATCTATAAAGACTTTAAATGAGTACAAAGAGGTCATGCGGTCGTTCAATTTGACTGAGCCCATGTTGAAAATGTTAATGCAAGAAGGTCAAAAGCACTCTAATAAAACTATAGTTAAAATAAAATATATGTGAAAGGTTAGAAGTTGAAGCTGTTAAAGTAAATATTTGTAATTGTCTTTTACAACCTGCAGTCATTCTAGGAAAAAAAAAGAAAAGGTAATATTGACTATATTTCACATTTTTGACTTTTAATTTCACTGTATGTTGATGACTTCACTACAATTAAGTGTTAGAGTAGACATATAAGAAAATAATTATAAAGTTTTACTGAAAAAGAACTTTTGATATTTATTAAGGAGGTTCTTTTAGTAATGCAAATAAAATTTGAAAACGATAAGATGAAAAGAAGTATTGCTATTCTTAGCATGAAAATCACCTTTGACTCAGTAATGGCTTTTTAAATTCATAGACAAATCTTTAGTAAAAATACTTTATTAAAAATATAAATTTTTGTGTAAAAAAAAAAAATTCTAGTATTTAGTAAAGGCTTGAAAATTTCATGAAGATACACTTAGTACATTCAGAGTTTTAGTACCTACAGTTTCATGGTTACGTAGTAATTACAATGATAGTCAAGGTGATATGACAAAAAGGCTACATTTGAAATCCATATGTTAGGGAAATAAACTTTCTATTTCCAGTCACTATCCAAATCAAACGGGTTTGTCTTAAATAGGATGATTATAATGAAAAACAGGATAGTCAACCTCAAAGTCTGCCACATTAACAGAAATATATAAATTACCATCCCTTGGACGAGCCACCACCACTCTGATAATATTTGGTAAATTAATATCAATTCTCAACATTAGACAATGTCAAAGATTACATAACGATTGACATCCATAAAGTAACAGTTTAACAGTGAAGTTGATGCTAAGCTTTCTGTGCATATACAGGAAAGTTAACCCTTGTACGACAAATACTTAGTGTACACCAACATATCAAATATAAGAATGAAATGGCTTCATCAGAAATACAACTTCAAGAGTGCCAGTTCTTATCATACAATATATAGTAATTTGGTTCAGCCTGAGTCATCCTGAATCTGCTGCTCAACTCTGTCTAGCTGCAGTTGAAGAGATATCTGTATCTACATAAAGAGCAAAGTAGATGAATGTGTGCAACACTTGTTGATAGTTTGGTCATTAGTAACATAGGTGCCCTTTCACTGTGCCTACACAGAAGGTCATATATTAGCCAAATGTTAACAACAAGCTATCAGAAGACAGCAGGTTCTCAATGTTATTACGTCTGCTAGTTTACCATTATCACATGCAGTGTGTATGTTTCAAGTGCCAAGTGCACACCTAGATATTAATCTACAAAATGTAAGTAAAAAATACAATTTTAGCTTTACTTCAACAATTTTAACACAAAAATACAGGTAAGTTTATTAAAGGCTTTGAATAATTGCTTTACGAAAGAAAAGTGTCTTGTAAATTAACATAAAACCTGTTTATTCATTTTTATGTGGTTGTAGTAACAACACATTATATTTTCTATTGCACATCTGACTGAATAAACCATTAGTTCATTAAATGGGTAAACATACAGTCCATGCTGTATTTTAGAACTGACAATCTAGCATTATGTAATATTTATTCAGCATATTTCACACAGAGCATTTTCTTTAAATGTTCACTTCTGTGTAGCAGCTGTAAAGAAACACATTTATAATTTTTTTGAATTTTCTGCTCATCCCAAAGTACATGTTTTTATTTGTTACAAAACTACCACTCTTTAGAAATATAATGATTCATGTTTTGTATACTAGGTGTTTTTATTTCTATGTCAGTGTTTTATTATTTCAGCCCTTCATTGTCACCCTTTTATGATGTCATAGCATGTGGTTTGTACAATTACTAATGAAGCTCAGCTATGAAAATAGTTAGCCCTATCGTGACAGGTCACGTGTCAAAAGTTATGTCATCTCATTTCTTGACTTGCATTCAAAATGTTATTGAACTACAACTTTATGAATTTATGTCAATAAGTTTGGTATCAAATTGTAGATTATAATTCAAATTTTTGTATTATAAAGTAAGTTAATTTCTTAATTTAAAAGTAAATATTAAAAAATACAGTTGAACATCAATTTTTGTGCCACATTGTATGTTGAAAGCAGCACTGGCTCAAATTAAATGTTTGTGATATCAAAATACTAAGTCTATAGCTTTGCTTGAATTAGGAACTCAAACTACCGATATTGACAAGCTAGAATATAAAATAAGAGCCTCTTATCTTTTCTATTTGCTAAGATATTGCTCATGTACTGAATTAAACACAGTGGTCCCCCCACCTACCTCTTTCCATTTTTGGAAATGCTCCCTTATATACACATACTTCTATATATGACATGAATAACCAATACAAAACTCAGAATGTACCCCTAGTTGCTTTCTCAGCCATTTTCATGTGTTAGGATACTATCTCATTTTTTGAAACAATATTTCAAGGAGACAGGTTGTGTCTTTAGTCTGCTCAAAATTTCATATTTTTTTAGACCAAAATACAGCTTAGTTACTAAACTACATAAATTATAATGAAATTCTAAGGTATCGATATATAATTTTTTTTGGTTTTTAAAATGTACATATAAAACATTAAATAATTTTCTTTTCACATCCTCCACATGGTAAATTTCATAAGGCTTAGCAATTTACAAGAAGCAGCAAATGAGTACAAAGGTCGTAACTAGAAGAGATAATTGTTTGCTTCATTTCTTTATTTACTGTTCTATGTTTTAAGAAAAATAAGATTAAGAACTTTTTTGTAAATAGTATTAATGTATATACATATATAATGTATAATAATTGAAATGTGACTGTATTTTACAAAATATAGTCCACTAAACACAGCCAAGACATGTCACTTTGTAAAGGCCAGTTTTATACTGTTGGATATGGTATCACGAGAGCACATGCACCGCGTCATTGTAACTTCTGTATTGTTAGCCAGGCATGGCTGAAAGGTCAGTATAATAAATATATAACATTATGAAATTTAAGTTATTTAGACTAAGCATTTGTGCTTTCGTGTTACAATATGTAGTCATTCTAGAACAAAAAAAGCATAATTTAAATTAATACCTAATTTTTATGGTGGTTACGAGGACCCTATAGAGTTTGTGTTTTGGAGGTTTTAGAGATTACACAAATAATATTTGAGATTTTTGGGATGAACAATAGTTTTTTAGTTATAATATAAAAATCACTTCACACTTGGACTGGTAATGAAACAGACTCGATATTTTCACAAACAAATCTATAATAAAACTACTTCATTAAAAAGTCTGATTTTTTGTGTACGAAAGACTTGTAATTTTTACTAAAAGTCTTCCAAATTTTGTGAAGATACACATACTGAATTAAAAGTTATAGTATCAATACTTAACTAGTGTATATTATACTGAGCCTGTCATGAAAGAGTTAAGAGCCAATGGGTAAAAATGCTTATACATACTACGGAATAAATAATAGTTGTTTTAGCAGTAGTTTGTCATTTGTTCACATTCCAAATTTTCAAAGCTCCTTTACGGGTGAACAATATAATATATTGGAAGTTTAGAAGACTTAGGAACAAACCATAGGTCAAGGAATTATTATAGTTTCTTTGGACATTCTTTTCATTCCTGAAAAAGTTTTCGTGTTAAACTATATCTATTTGAATACTATAAATAATTTTCTTCTATAACAATACTTCAGATAAATTGATTAGGTTTAGTAAGTACAGCAGGTGACAGTAAATACTTCAATTACTCAAATCCTTATTCACTGAAGTTAATTGTTCAGTTCATTGCATCAGAACAACATACACACAAATAAGTAAAATTATTTATTGTAAAGATTGTTTTTTTTTTTGCTGAATTTTCCATAAAACAACTTGAGGGTTATGTACATTAGCCATCCCTAATTTTGAAGTAAGAGACTAAAGGGAAGGCAGGCTAGTCAACACACCTACCTTCAACACTTGAGCTACTTTTTACCAATAAAAAGTGGGTCAGACCATAACATTATAATTTTTCATAAGAAATGGAATCTGCTCAATGATGTGTTTTTACAGTGATTTTATTTTGTCCATCACTATAATGCCCCATGGCTGAATGATGAAAAATGTTCGACAATGGGTTCAGAACTTGTGACATGCAGACTGCAAGTCAAGTGCAGTAGCCAGTAGGAAATGTAAGACCCCACTGTAAAGATATTATAATTATTAGATATAAATTGATTTCAACCAAGATTATTGCTAGCAAAAATAATAATATCTGGCTTGATAAAGATAGTCATTTTGAACAGTGTGTTATACTTTACTGTTATGTCTTTTTCAGTTTGTGTTGTGTTTATTAAGAATTATATTGGAAATAGTGAATGTGTCACTTGGCAAAATAAAGCATCAAAATAAATATATTAATGAATTAACAAAAAAAATTAATTCTCCTTCAACATAAAGTATTTTTAATGTTTTCAAAATAGATGCTTCACAATTTTAGAAATTTCATTACCTAAAAATTAGAAATATTAAATCAGATTGTACTAATCTTTTAAACAGAAACTACATACTATTTAGAAATTTGTATTTTCACTGTGAGAAGGACAAAATCAGGATATTTCAGTGTTATCCATCTTGTCCAAAAAAGTTAAGTTTCATAAATTAAATTTGCAGGTCACACAAAAAATTAAATTAACCCTATGGTCATTTTAACCAGCCTTGTAATCTGAAACTATGCATGTACCTAAATGTACCAAGTATATCTTCGTGAAATTTTGCAAAATTTGAGTAAACATTACAAGTCTGTTGTACATAAAAAAAGAATCAGGTTTTTAACAAAATATTTTTACTAATGATTATTCTGTGAACTTACAAGCCCTTTACTAAGTCAGAGGGAAAAGTGATTTTCATGCAAAGAATAAAAATAGTTCTTTTCATCTTACAGTTTTTATATATATTTCATTCAAATTACTTTTAGAGCCTCCTGAATAAATGTTAAGTTTATTCAGTAACACTTAAGACTATCTCTTATTGTCTCTATCCTAACATTACCTGTCGAGAATTCATCTAAGTATGGTAAAATGAAAAATGTATATATATATGAAGCACAAAAATCTGCACTTCTGTTTGTTTGTCTATTATCTAACTACTCATAGGTCACCAGTCCAATCTCAACTAAACTTTGTAGGATGATAGTTTGGAACAAGGGGTATGTTAATAGGGGGTTTACAACCCCTTCCACCCCCCATTATCACTATCATTGAGCATTTATTATCTTTGATGTAAGTTAACATTAACCACATTCATAGATGGCACTATGTCCTTACACCAAAAGAAAAAAAAAACTTTATTAAATATTCTATAAAATAGCATGCACACAAACATTTTATATATCTCAGAGTGTGTCCCTCTATTGAGGAATGCAATGACAAAAATGGCCACCACTATCGGAAAACAACATAAACTCAGCTGAAGTTTCTACTCCAGCAGCCACCATAAGGCTGATAAAGAGATATTTCTTGAGTTATACCCACTTCCTACTTTGACCTGTAATGTTTTAACTTTAGCTCGTAACACACTTCTTTGGCCAATAACCATCAACTAAGAATATTAAGAGCTGGGTGTTGAAAGCGGGTAATAGAAAGCACCCCCTACCACCACTACTTTGGCTACTACCTCTTCTCACAAAGCCACCTTGACCAACAAGTTTTTCTTGGCAGGGAGGTTATTCAAATATCAACTTCTATTCTGTACAGAATTAGCATGCAAGAAAAAATAAAAAGGTTTTTAAGTGATGTAACACCAAGTGACCAAATAATGGAACTATCATAAATTATCTTCTCCTCCAAGTTAAGTTTTACAATACTTATCTTTATTTTAAGCATCACTAAAAATATATTTATAAAGATGAAATTTTTAAATTTAAAATTACTGAGGAGAAAATAAAGCATGCAGGGTTAAATTAAAAACTTTATGAACTTCAGATAGAATGATACATTTAGAACAACCTACAATTTCATCTTGGGAATATTAAGAGTAAAAGAAATAAACATCCATGGTGCAGAGATGACCATCAGGATGCAGTGTTTGTATGTAATTAAACACAAAGCTACACAATGGGCTATCTGTGCTATGCCCACCACGGGTATCGAAACCCGGATTCTACTGTTGTAAGTCCGCAGACATTTCGCTGTGCCACTGGGGGGTCAGGATGCAGTGATATTAAAAATAATAAGAATAATATATTACGTATATAGTGTAAAAATATGAAAGGAAACTAAATTCCAAAATGAGAGTAAGAAAGACACCAGAAAAGACATACCGACTTCTCATTCCAGGTTTCACTTCAACTATCTTATCTCCACTTGCAACGACTCTAACAGTCACTTCTCCAGCACCAAATTCTTTCTTTTTAATAAAATGATTAACTCTGTTTTCTATGTAATTTCCTAGTTTAGTTTGTGGAAACCCTACAAAATAAAATAGGTTAAGAATTATCAAAAGTGAATATAAATGCTAATTTGGTGACAAAGCTATTCATTAACAAGAAAAACCCAAAAGGCTAAGCAAATTATACACAATAGCTTTACATTTACACTATATGTCAATAACTAGAGCCAGTTGATTAACTCAATTACCTTTTACTCACTGGTTACTCTGATTAGTGTCATATAAAATTTAATTGAAATTATGATGAAACCTATTAATGTCATGAAAAATCAATTAAACAAAATTAGTATTTGCAATTATTCCACCTATTCAAGTAAGCTAAATATTATCATAATGATTTCTCATTCTTTTTTTATACTAATAATTCATGATTGTTCAGTTTAATGAATTACAGTCACGACTCATAAAAACAATAAATTAATCAAAATTAATGTTTCCAATTAATAGTATTTTTTATTATTCCAGCTATCGAAATAATCAAATATATTAGTTATTACTATTTCCAATGGCACGAATTAGACTGTTATCAACTCATGTCTAGTAATTTCCAAAAAACATAATTAACTAAGCAAGTTATTCAGTAATTAATATTTCTGAGCAAATGAAGAATAATAAGTATTAACTTGCTATTAAAGCTACAATGTTATATAGACAGACATACCAGGCAAACATGAACAAGAGGCATCACTGACTATATATTTGATAAATCACAAACACAATACGTAACACCATTAAAGTCATTAGCCTATTAACACAAACAGGACTCCTGTTTAATTACAACTAGCTCTAGCGGGATATAAAGCACTGAAAATGGAAAACAAGTATGTCTGTCATCTTGTGGAGTTTATACACTACCTAGTATAAAAGCTTATGACATTTTTACGTGTATAAAGTATTTCATTATATTTTAAGTTTTCACACTGATAGAATTAGAAAACAAATTCTGAAACATCTGTAATTAAAGTTCTTTACAGTTTTCTTGCCAAATAGCAATAAATTTGTTTTCACACTGAATCAAATATTTTGTATTATACACTGTGATAAGAATCTTACTAGTTTTATCACAAGGAATCTAAGGACAATCATTGTGTAACAAAAAAATTAATCTATTTCATTTTAGTAGTCTTGCAAAATTTTTTGAGAGAAACCCTAAGAATGGTATTGATATCATTTTCAATTTGTTACAGGTTTTGTACAGTGTTATGTATACAATACATTTTCATGTTTAGAATAAAAAAGAAACCAACATGCACACAAATTACCTATTATATGTAACACCATTTATTCTATAAAGACATTCTAAGTGTCATTACACTCCTTACTGAATGACAATGGGATGTGAAAGCCGGATTAAAATTAACACAAAATTTTTTTAAAATTTTACCTAAACTTGCACCTAAGCAGCCTAATATAAAAAAGGAATTACCTGCATTCGGTGTACATTTTTTTATACGAATATTTTTTAAGATAAGTCAAAAAACCCATAAAAGAGATTTAAAATATTAACCTTATCTGCTTAAGTAGCTCTTCAAAATTTTGAAATTAGTTAAAGGTT